CAATGTTGAGTGTATGACGTCACAGACTCCAAAAAATAACCGTAAAAATATACTTTCGTCCTGAATATCGAGAAAACACTTCATACAGTGATTATTGGACCTTTAAAGAGTATTTTTAGGAAGTTTCAGCTGAATCCAAGTTTGAGCGATTTTCGTCGTAGTAGCACTTTAAACAATAGAAAACGAAGGATTCTGTATGAAATAGTACTAATTAGTACTATTTAATGTTCACGGTTTTAGTGCGTGTAACTCTATGTTTAACAATATCTAAATAAATCTAGGGATCAATACCTTCAAATAGTATGGTCAGTATGACAAATCCCTTTTTGAACCCTGCATCATTCATGCACAGGAATTCACGCATAATAACCTCAAAACCGCATTTTAGGATCAGATTTTTTGAATGGGCTGAGCTCTTTATTTCGGGACACTTGCGAACAAAGAGCGCATTAGACGCAAAGCGCGCAAGAAAAGAAAACTAAAGATCTTTTCTTCACACTTCCTTTCCCTTTTACCAGGGTTATTCGAAAGAAGATCCGTCTGGTACCAAGGTACCGTTAGGCGAGTTTCTTTCGTTTTTACCTCCAAGCATTGTTGTCAACTCTTCCCTCGTTATTAGTTTTTCTTGTTCAAGATAGATGATAAATGCTGCTAGAAAAGTTAGTCTTTGGTTGACAAATCGCCAGTGGTCACAATATCTATTTGGAAAAACATGAAGGAAACATACCACTAATGACTTTAGAAATTAAAAATATTTTTGATTGATATATTGATTGTTTGCAAGGGGAAATGAACGTTGTTATCCTACCTGTAATACTGGCCTTTAGGAATCTTTTTCTCTAATTCAGCATACTGCATCTTAACATCTTTCAGTTTTTCCCTACTTCTGGTGCATATTTTTGCCAGAGCTTTTTGTAATGAAAAGAAAACGTGACAGTCGCTTAGCTATAGAGATTTTGGGTGGAAGAACAGGGTAGCTTAAACAAAGTTGGAGGATTGATCCTGCATGGTATGTACAAAGTTGGAGGCATGGTGTTTAATTGCTGTGTATCAGTCTTATGAGATCTGCCAGTCATGGCTGACCATAAAGTTATTAGCTAGGGAGGGAGGGCAGAAGTTGGAGGAACATGCAGATACAGGCGAATTGTGCAAGACGTAGGTGCGTGATAAATATTTGATTGGGAGCACAAGTGGCTTGCGCTGCTAATGTGCCGCTTCCCGCTGCAGTCACGGTTCATGCGATACTTAAAATGAATACCAACCATATCAACGCAAATACTCTTTGCTGCAACAAAAATAATTTATTTCCTCATCAGATGACTGCTTTGCAAGGGTAAAATTACTGACCTACCTTCTGTACTGGGGTTTTGATGAGCCCCTTGCATCACTGCAAGAACTTCTCTCGCTGTTTGTTCCAGACTACGAACAGCAACTCTTATTTCCTAAGTAAATAAATACATCAATGTGCAGTTTGATGTGCGCATGAACGTGAATTCTATCCCAAAAAACCATTAAAAATGGATATTAGTAAGAAAGACCTAAGGAGGGAAATATCCATACGTACATACCTCCCTGATTTCTTGGTCACCAGAAAAATAACCTTGTATTTCTGAAAACATGGATGAAACCCCCTCATTGTAACTTTGACTCACTCCGTCCGCCATCTTGGATTTGTTCGAAGGCTCATTCCAGTTGGTCAGTGGTTAATGTTTTTAGTGATTGCTCGCCAAGGCACAGCAAGCCCAAGGCTTTGCTTTAGTAAATATTTAGAAATGTTACAAAAACTAAAAGTTTCATATATCACTTATATGATTTTTAATCAGTGTTTTCAAATCTTGCATTTTAGGGAGGGAAAAACATTTTACTTTTACAATTTTTTAAAAAACATTTACTAAAGCTTAGCTTGGTCTTCCTGTGGCTGAGGTAAAGTGCGCGGGGTTTTCAAGATGGCGGATCAGTTGACAACGACGCCAAGAATAAATGAAAGATTTGGGATTGTTAACCAGTTATTTAGAGCTTTGAAATGAGTCACTTGGACAGGAACAAGGGTAGGAAAGGGAGCAGGCATGAAAGTGCGGTAAGGCTAAAACGTTGTGCTATAAATGATGGAAGAACTTAGTTTGTTTACAAAGTTCAGTTTACGTCTTGACGATAGCAACTGCTAGGAAAAAGAACATCCAGTCTAGTTTAGGGTTAAGATATATTTAAATAAAAATAATATTAACTAAGGAACAATTCTCAACTTAGGGGCGGAGGAGGTTTAATAATGTTTGTTGTAGGTTTTAAAAATATGACACCTTTTTGGTAGCTTCCACTCTACAAACCTACAAGTTTTATGCCCCTCGGAATATATAGAACATAATGAATATACAATTACCAGCGTTTACTTGATAACCACCCCCTCCCACATGTAAGTGTTGCTTGAAAACAGTAAAGGCTGATTTTCACTAGCGACATAAGCGACGGAAGCATAAGAGGAACAATAGAAAGGTTCCCGTGCAGGTACTGAGTACGAGAATTTGATTGGCTTACCACCTTGTGCTTCTGCACATTAGCGACGGAAGCATAAGGATCTGGTTTTCACTAGCGACGTAAGGACGGAAGCAAAAGCAGAAGCATAAGGAAAAGGAAACCTTCCGTTCCTTCTGCTTATGCTTCCATCGATGTTCTGCTTCTACTTACGTCTCCGTTTTTTGATTTTCACAGGAACATAAGACGTCTTATGCTTCTGCTTCCGCTTCTGCTTCCGTCGCTAGCGAAAACCAGGCTTAACTCAACAAATTCCATATACTGTACCACCCCACAAATAGATTATGCTTATTCATCATCATCATATTATTTTTATTATTTATTTATTATTATCATCATCACATCTTCTTCTTCTTCATCATCATCATTATTATTATTATCATTATTATCATTAATTCTTATTCATTTTTCCAGGCCAGTACAGCAATGGCTGCTGTAGCCCTTCAAGATCACCTCTCACGATCACTTTCCTTACAAGATCCCTTCAATAAAAAGAAAATCAACCACCGTCTACCAGTAGCATCAAGACAGAAGAATAAGACCAAAGCTTCTTCTTCTTCTTCATCCTCCTCGCCATCATCTGTAGACAGCACCAAAAAGGTTGTAAAAGAAGAGGAGTATGTCTTGGATCCTAAGCTTCCACCTCTTACTCTTGGTGAGGTTCAATAAAGCTTCTTGGCTTGGTAGTGATGATGGGGGGATTAGGCCCGTGCAGATTCAAAGGGAGAGGGTGGTGCATGGGGGAAGTTTGGGTTCTTGGTTGTCAAAGTGGCTGTCAAAACAGTTGGCTAAAACTGTACTGGAAACTGGAAACCATTACATTTGTAGGTTTGTGGAAACCTGCAGTATTCTAACCCAAAGTGAAATAAATGAATTAAAAGTTACACATGCAAGAGCTTTCCTGCATTCTAATTGGCTGTGTTTCCAATATTGTGTAGGAGTAATGATTGTAGATGCACAACTGGAGTTAAGATTTTTAATAATAAGCCAACAGGATAAACAAACTAATACACATGCATACCTATATCTTTTTCTGATATAAATATGAATATTATGTAACCTACTGCATTTGGTAAATTTCCAGCCCAGAAGCTTGGTATAATAGATGCACCAGAACAGTTACTATCCGACAATGAGTGGCAGGAAGTAAAACAGCAGTCCAATGCAAGAATGGATTCTAATCAACCTTGTGTCATATGCAAGGAAGATTTTGGGGTCCAGCAACAGGTATTATATAAAACTCATTAATAAGCAGATATTTAAAAAAGGAAATGAAAATAGATTAAGGTTACATTTTGTGATATTAAATTATGGATTATTTTCTGCAGGTTCTTCTCTCATGCAGTCATGTGTTCCATAGGGTAGGTTATTTTTCATTAAGTGTTCAGGTTGTCTGAAAGCAACTATTAGTCAGTAATTAGTACTATTTGCTGGTATCAACTTTGTTTTTAATTTATGGTTTTACTGCATACACTCTAAGATACATAAAACTTGCATGATACACTCAAACAACAAAAAACCATGCCTCACAAAAATTGCAGTCTTCAATCCTTTATTTTGAAAAAGCCTTGTTTCATGAGAGCTTCATGAGTATCAAACCACTAGCAAAATGTCAAAAACTCTTATTCAGGCCTGCCTTGAAGCATTTGAGAGGTTTTCTGGTCGTAAGTGTTGCCCAATGTGCCGCAAAGAACAGTACCAAAAGAGAGTGATTCATGAAGGTGCCAAGCAACACAGAATCAAATGTGCAACAAAGTAAGAAATGCAAAAGTTCTGTTCGAAGTTTAGTATTTTTTATTTTATTTAGCATTCAGAAAGTTAGCAAGGATGAATAATAAAGGGTTTGGGTGGCAGTAAAGGGGACAGATGATTTTCTACACATGGACATTTAATATAATAATCAATAATATACACATGTAGTTGACTCAAGTAAAAATAAAAAACTTTCAGACAAGACTTGAAGGAAGCAGTTTAAATGTATTAATATAGATTGAAGTACAATTAATGTTTGGATGAAGGGCGTTCCAGAAATTATGATACAAGCAAGAGCAAAATAAAATTTATCTGGCTTTTAAAAATTAACGACCGATCAGTTGCCTTTCATGATCACAGGTGAAGTTAGTTTTAGCTTAGTCATAACTAATTTCTGGTTAAACATTACTGGCCCGACATTGTTCGTTGTCCAGTCATTTTAAGCCCTGATTTTAACTTAGAGGTTTAAAAAGGAAGGAGATTGAGATAAGTTTAGACCAACAAAGAAAAAAAAATATGTAGAACTGTGCTCTTATAAGCATTTGACTGTACTTTATTAAAACTTATTTAAAAATATCTTTTTCCAGAGCATTTTCATTACAGCGCAACGCACAAAAGTATGTCCACATTTTAATGTATTTGGCATAATTCTGTGTATGGGTTTTCATACATTGAACCAACACATTTTGATGCAAAGCTGGCTGGTTTTACCAAATGAGGCGTGCATTAATGCTTGTTATGGCATCAAAAAGCCTGTGTATAGAAAGATGCAAATACATTAAAATAAGGTCATACTTTTGAGTGTTGCGCATCCTGTAGTGTAGACAGGGGTTTTCATAATAGACAAAGCCTTAATTATTGTTTGAGGTTACTAACACTATCAATTGTTGTCTTATTTTAAAGAATTCAAGCTGTTTGGAGAGGCTATGTTGTTCGTACCTGGTACAAGAACCTGAGACAAACTGTTCCACCCAAGGATCCAAAACTAAGGAAGAAATTTTATGAAGACAAGGTTAGAAATAGAAAAACCATTAAAACATTTGTTTGCAGGGGGGAAAAGTTTAAGGTTAACACATACATGAGGAGGGAAGTGTAACATTTGAAGTTATCTAAAGCTAAGTGTTTGTCTTTCCAAAGATTATGTAGTTCCAGAAAGTATCCACCCCCCTCCCCCCCCTCACCCCACTCAACCCCTACAGAGAAATTTGGGATTTCCAAGAGGTAAGGGTTCAGAGAAATAACAAAATTACAAATTTTGTATGGAGGGACATTGGAATTTCTGGAGGTGGGGAGGGGGTATTTAAGAAAATCCTCTGTGGAGGGGAGGGGAGGTTTGGATGATTTCTTGAACTACACATTCTAGAAATTGGATATTTCTTTGCAAAGAGAAGATAGAATGAAAAATGTTTTTTCAACTCTCACTAGATTTGTGCTGCCTAGGAATGTTAAAATATTGAGACCCCCCCAAAAATGCTTGGGACCTCCTAAAAGATACCTGAATCCTCCTAAAAATGCGTGGAACCCATAAAAAGATACTTTGGTCCTCTTTTCACAACTTCAAATGGCGTACAAAATGAGCCAGCTCAACTAGAAACTGTGGACAGCTGTTTTGGCCTGTATTGGGCCTCGTCAGCATGGTGTATCTAGTGAGCTGGTAAATCCCACTAAAAAGTAGTACATGAGAGATGAGGTGGTGAGCCATGTGGGATGGGATCAGATATCACATAAGAACATTCGTAATAGGTAAATTACGAGCCTAAAAAGATACTTTGGTCGTTCTAAAGATGATTGGGATCCTCACAAAAATGATCAGAAGCCTCAAAAATAAACTTGGTACCCAAATTCAAAGAGGCTTGTGGATCCTTGGATACAGACAGTTAAATTCCTACTTGTCCTTCATCTTTCTTTTTTTTTTGTTTGTTTCATTTTTGTGTTAATAGCTGCAAAGTATAACAGATCGTCTCATTTACTCAACGGAAACCAGCAGTCAGAACATTGATGACTTGATGTCTGAGATTGATCAGTCTATTGCTAGTAGTAGAAATATTATGAGGTATGAAATATTGTTATTCCAATACACCCTATTATTCATAACTCCATTTCATTCCTGTACCCAAAGCCTTCTCACCTTTCTAACGAAAAATCAAAGGCTCTGGTAACACAAAAACCGACCGTTAATTTGATTGGTTCAATTTTTTGCATAATCATCCCACGATTCTATTCTGTGCCTGTATTTAATTTCCCATTCTTTTATTTCATTTCAATCCGTTTTTCATTTTTACTCCACAGCAAAGTTGAAGAAGATCGCTTCAACTACATCAGTGATGACCAGTGGGATGAAGTCCAATTAAAGGTAAGTTACACTGTTTTACTTGGGTACTGGTTTATCCAATCCACTATTTTCCTATAAAGGTGTTATACCAAAATTATTCATTTGCTTAACTAGCTTCGAGGTTGTCCTGAAGTTCGCTCTTTTATTGCTTGCTGGGGACTTTTACTTTTTACAGTCCTTCCTGCTAGTAGAAAAGCTTCAAATCTATCTTTCAGTAGACGACTTATGAAGTATTATACAGGACTTCTGTTGCAAGACACAAACATTGTCTTCCAGTTCAATTGCTTTTGCCATAACTGTTGATAGAGGCCATTGAGATAACACAATAAAGAATCTGTCATTGGTGTGGCATGACCCCAACACGGACACCAATTTTCCCTAGGTATTGCGTGATTAATACTTTACCATAAAATGCCCCACCAAGCCCATCGTTTCCATATATAGTAAGGACACGTACCTGGGGTCTAGAGCATATACCTTTATTCAGTAGACCTACCCATGGTAACAGCTGATAACAATGCCTCTATGATGTTTTTAAGGTTCCAAAGTAGAAGTTATGAGCTATCACTATTTTTCTAGCATATCGTTCACTACTTTATATCCCTTGCTGTCAGTATACCATACACGCTGCTGGTTATTGTTTCAGGCAGTGGAGCGGTGTTGTCATGACTGTCCCATTTGTATCATGCCGTTATCGCACCAAGGGTTATACAACAAGCGTGATAAAACTACCTCCAGACCCACCGTGTTACTCTCTTGTTCCCATGTGTTTCATGCTACATGTTTGGAGGCTTTTGAAGAATTCACGGTGAATGAACGGCATGTGTGTCCTGTATGTAGATCAACGTACTGTAAGAAGACCTTATGATGACGTCACTCGTATATCGATCAAGAACGCTATTCTTTATTTACATCTATGAAAAACAGGTAATACGTTCATGTTCTATATACACCAAACTGCCAATTCGGACTATATACTTTTCTTGTATTTATGTGATTTGGCATCATTTGCTGTCATTGGGTGTCATTCCCCATCATTCGCCACCATTCCCCTTCATTCCTGTCAGTCACCGTCATAAG